GAGGGAAAGAAACACACAGGCACAAGTAATCGACGATCCCCAGGAAAATATAGGAAAATATGGGAAGTGGGGGGGAAGACAAAAACCGAGAAAATATGTGGAAATATCCGGAATCCTTTTATTCGTGTATATTTATTTGTGTGTCCCAGGACCCCTTCAAAGAGGCTTGCGCCCCCGGGCTTGGGCTCCCTGGCGGCGCCCGGAGGCCGCGCACCAAAGGCCGCTCGTGCTCACGGTCACTTCTGCGTGTCGGCGATCGACATCCACCGATCTCCTCCCAGGAGGAACCCCCTGGGCGGCAGAGAGGGGGGGTGGTGACTAAGGGGGGGGGGATGGATCTCATGGCGGGGGCCATGACATTTCCCCAGATTTTATGGCGCCTCTTCTTGTTTCATTACGTCCCTGGCCCCCCTGCTGGGCCGCGCACATGCCCCCGGTCATGATTTGCACCCCCCCCCTCTTGGACACCCCCCTCTTGGCCGCTCCCGAGTGTAGGCGATCGACATTCATCGATCTCCTCCCAGGAGGAGCCCTGAGGCCAGGGCTGGACCTAAACGTTGTTGTTCGTTGTGTTGTCGTTTTGCGTTTCGTTTTGCCCTGCCCGTTTTCCTGTACATCCCTGCCAAAACGAGAAACAAGACGCAGCCGAAGTCCAGCAAAGCAGCGCTTAGGTCCAACCCTGCCTGAGGCCCTCGATCGCCTGTGCGTGGCGCCACCGTGCGCGCGAGCCTTGGGTGGAGTCCTCGAGGCTTACCCCTCTACGAGCATCGAGCTTCGCATTCGATCCTGACCGCATCGTGCCGCCTGAAATGCAACAAAAAAGAGGCCTCGGAACGTCCCTGGAGATTTGGGGCGCACACGGGGACAAAAGGGCGAAAGAGAGCCGGGGGACGGCGGCGGTGGAGGAGCCGATCAACGTCGGAGGTGTGCCTCCACCGAGGGGGGATGACGATCCCGATCTCGGTGATGGTGGTCCTTTTCTGGTCTTGTCAGTGGCCGGACGGTATCCACCAACAGCAGAATCCAGGACCACCTTCCCCTGGGTGGAGGCAGTTCCCTTTGTCGGTGTTGGCGCCCCTCTCGAAGCCTGCAGAAGGAGTGGGCCGAGGGCGCGGGGGGAGGAGCTGATCAGGACCAGGAGGGCGAGAGCCGCGCAGCCAGCGCAGTTGGGCGGCTCAAGGCCCTGGAGCCCTGATGCGAGCCGCGCTGTGAGCCCCTCGAGCTTTCTCTGCGGGCAAGCCTTGTGTCCATGTCCACCGCAGCTCGGAGTTTCGGGCTCCCTTCGCCAGAAGCCCGAGGCGCACTGGATGTGGGTGAAAATCTGGCCCCATAGAGGCTAGATGTTTATCCATACCCAGCGCGCCTCGGCCTTGCGGCGCCCCTTCCGGGCAGGAGATTCCAAAACGCAATGGATATGGATGTCACTATTGCCCGCATCCTCCCCTGACCTCCGACGTCGTGCGTCTTCTGCGGTCGGACGGAGGTATAAGATCGAGGCTGGTTCGGGAAGGGTGCCCTCATGATCTTTTTGTGTGTTGGATGATCTTGCGCATCCTGGAGAGGGTACCCTTGGATGTTCTCTGTGTGTGTGTGTGTTTGGCCGGCGGAGGGTCACATATTCTTGGAGGACCTTGATGGATGCTATTCTGGCCCAGGCTCGATTGTAATTGAAGAAGGGAAAACGCCATAAACATAGAGCTTTTGTCGCTCGGCGCGAATTCCTTGGATCCGCGCTGGGCCCCCCCCCCGGCGGCGCCTCCGGCGCCGCCCCTGGTGCGCTCCGCGCGCGCCAAGAAGTCCGCGCGGAGCACCAAAAGTTTATGCGTCTGCCGTTTCTTCTGCTTCTTCTTCTTCTTCTTCTTCTTCTTCTTCTTCTTTTCCTTCCGCAGTGGAGGCCCAATGCCAAGAAACACCCTGCTCGCCTCCAGGGTGCCCTGGGTTTCTTGAGTTTCGATGGTTTTGCTGTGGAAGGCGTGACGTCCCCACATCGAAGATCGATGCACGTCCTGGGGTCTCAGGGCCGGGTCTCCTGTGGACGGCTCTCCTCGTGGCCGGGCCCCCGCTGCACGTGCTGCCCGCGTCCTCCCCGGACCCCCGACGCCGTGCGTCTTCGGCACGGGCGCCCCGCGGGCCCCGTGTCGCGCCCCTCGGCCCCCTCGGAGGGAGGCCGGCACGGGCTCCGGGGCGCGTGTGCCCGTCGTTCGGACGGCCCCCGAGGGGCCGGCCGCGCGGAGCCCCCCCGAGCATGGGCCAGCAGTGTGCCAGGTTCTATAGGCTTAATTCAAGGAAGGGTCACAAAAATAGTCTGGGGGCGATGTCTTGAATCTTTGTTGAAACTTTCTAGGCTGCTTCTTATTTGTCGCCCAAGATTAGCCGGTAGGGGGACATGCCCGACCTAGCCCAAACATGGCCAGCATGGTTCTAGGCCTCCCAGATGGGGTCCGAGTAGATGGGGTCGAAGGATCGCGCCGCATCGCCGATGCATCGCCGATGCGGCTCGATGTGGGGCCCGATTTGCTTCACGCCGACGACGCCGATGCATCGCCGATGTCGACGATGCATCGCCGGTGTATCGCCGGTGCATCGCCGGTGCATCGCCGGTGCCTCGCCGATGCATCGCCGATGTGTCGGCGATGCGGCGCGATCCTCCGACCCCATCCGGGAGGCCTCCAATTGTGGGGGAGAGCACTCCATGGGGGGACGGCTACGACGGAGACTCAGCGGCAGGGATGGGGGGGGGAGGGGCGGGGGGCCCCCACCTCCTCGCGCTGTGAGACATCTCGGATGCGAAGGACTTGTTTGCATTTTCTTTTTTCTTTCACATGTTGGAGAGAGTTGCCCTTTTCTACTGAGCTGGCGCGACATTCGATTCGACGGGAGTTTCTTGGCTATTTTCGGCCTACGCGGGCCCTTCCCGGGTCTCGGGACCGTTGAAACAGGATTCAGGATGAGAAACTGTCCCCCAGGAATGCGTCCAGACCTCTGGGGGTCGACGTTGCGAAAAAATCACGACGTCGGGAGTCTGGGGAGGGGTGCACCTTCCAGACGCCTTTTGGGTGCAGGGGCCGCTTTCCTGCACGCCTCGTCGTTCGCCCCCCTGCCAGGGGCTCCCCCGTGAGCGTTCCCCCAGAGCCCGCCGTGGAGGAAAGGGGGCCTTTGGAGGAAGGCAGCTCCTCTAATAGACCCCAGCGAGGTTCTCCCCGGGGCCAGTCCTTCGGGGCCCATACACATACACCACCGCCACCTCCCTCACCCCCTTCTTCTCCCAGGACAAAGGCGAGGAAGAAGAGGGTAGAGGAGGGAGGAGTAATCGAATGTGGTGGTGTATATTCTTGAAGAGGCGATGAAGACGAGGGTAAAGGAGGGAGGAGGAATCGACTTGGTGGTGGTGCATACTCTTGGGGCCCGCAGTTCCTACATCCACCTGGCTATAGTTCTTCGACGGTCCCGGGGCGCGCGGATGGCCGAGGGGGGCCCGAACATGGCGAAACGCCTCCACGGCCCCGTGCCATCTTCCATCCTTTCTCGTCCTTCTCGTCCTCCTCGTCGTCGTCCTCCTCCTCCTCCTGCGCCTCGGCGTCGCCTACCTATCCCTAATTCTCCCCACTTGACCATGGCATCTCGGCCCCACCGGGGCGACGATGAGGGCGACAGGGGACGACCTCCGTCGACTCCATCGATGGGGGGGAGGGCCGCTACGCTACGTCTTCAAAGGGGGGGGGACCCGCGCGGGGGGAGGGGGCCGAGGGCATCAGCATGACGCGGCGAGGTGAGGTGGTGGGGGGCAGCCCCTGGATCCGAGATATTCGCACCCAGGCGGGCAGGTCGGTCAGCGGGGCTCAGGCCACGCTTGTCGGGACAGGGATTGGTTGAACGATGCTCACCGAAGAAGAGGGGTCAGCATAAGCATCAATTTTCCACGGTTCGCGTGGATTTCTTGGATCTGCGCTGGCCCCCCCTCCCTGAAACGCGGAGCGCGCCAGGGGCGGCGTCGGAGGCGCCGCCAGGGGGACCCAGCGCAGATCCGAGAAATCCGCGCGGAGCGTCGGAAGTGTTTGTTGATTCAATGTTTCTTCTGCAGTCGAGTCGCATAGCAAGGACGAGCAGCTTTTCAAGGCTACGTTTGTACCCTTGCCCCTTCGGCCCATCCTTGGCGGCTTTTGCTGGCCAGTCCCGGTCGGAACGCCAGCATGGCCCTCCAAGGCCCTTGCACCTTTACCGCGCTCTGACGGGGCTATGACGAGGATAAGTCCTGTCCAGAGCGTTCTGGAACGCTCTCAGAGCGTTCCGGAACGCTCTGAGAGGGCCGTGGCGCCCGAGACATCCTCCAGAGCCGCGGTAATTCCGAGGTTCTCGATTTATCCTCACCCGATGTTAGCCTCGTCCTGGATTCGTCTTACGCGAGTCATCCTGAGTCTTGGCCTCCTAGATGTGGTACGAGTAAATGGGGTCGGCGGATCGCGCCGCATCGCCGATGCGGCTCGATGGGGGCCCGATTTGCTTCACGCCGACGTCGCCGATGCATCTTCTACGTCGACGATGCATCGCCGATGTGTCGGCGATGCGGCGCGATCCTTCGACCCCACCTCCAGTCAAAAACCCTAATAAGGACGGGCGACTTTGCTCAGGGTGCCCTTGCGTCCCTGCTCTTCCTTGCTCTTGCGTCCTTGAGGTTTTCGTCGTCCGCCGCCCCCAAAATCCCATCTTCGACTTCCAAGGGCCTCGCGTCCTTACCGCGCGTCCTTATTAGGGCTTCTGATTGTACACTCCGACCCCATCCAGGTGTCCAGTCCTCCTCCTCCTCCTCCTCCTCCTCCTCCTCCTCCTCCTCCTCCTCCTCCTCGCTCGGCGATCTGACCGAGTGTCCAGTCCTCCCCTCCCCCAGCTCGCCGCGTCGGAAGCCGGGGCCCCCTCGGGCGCGCCCGCCCCGGGCGGTCTGCCGCCGAGGGGGGCGCCGCAGGGCGCAGGCCCGCACCGCAGGCGGCAGGGGCTCCCGCGGCATGGCGACGGCCCGGCCCTCGGGAGGGGGCCATCACTCGGGGAACCAAAAGCGGCATCAACATAACAACTCGGAGGTCCGCGCGGATTTCTCGGATCCGCGCTGGACCCCCCTGGCGGCGCCTCCGGCGCCGCCCCTGGCGCGCTCCGCGCGCCAGGGAGGGGGGCCCAGCGCCGATCCGAGAAATCCGCGCGGACCTCCGAGTTTTTATGTTTATGCCACTTTTTGTTCCCCTAATCACGGTCGTGGGTCCTTTCGGTCAAGCAGTGGCGAAGCGTCCCGGCTTGTTTACAGGCCCGCCGAAGAATGTTCCGAGAACCTTTGGTGGTCTGCACGGAATGTTCTCAGAGCATTTCTGGCTGGGGCCGTCTTGTTTTATCACATCGGGCTTATGTTTTAAGAACGTTGTTTGTGTTATGAGAACATGTTTGAGTTCTAAGAAGATTCGTGGTTGGCCCATAGGAGCGCCGGGAAGGTCGATCTCTGCTCAGGATCGTGGGTCTTCTCGGGGGCGGCCAAGAGCGGGGTGATGTCTTGGGGGGGGGCATAGCATAGCGGGGGGCCTGATGTCTCCCCAGATTTCATGGCGCCTCTTCTCAGTTCAATGCGTGCCTGGTCCCACCTTGGGCCACGCGCGTGCCGCCAGCCATGATTTACTTCCCCCCCCCCCCTCTTGGACGCCCCCCTCTTGGACGCCCCCGATCCTCCCTCTCCTCCTCCGTTCCTTTTCCTTATCAATAACGCCTACCTGTCGCACCCCGAGGCCAGTCGGAAGGGCCGGCCGGGCGTTTCGCCTGAGACTCCTTCCTCTCTCATGATCCCGAAGCCTCGAAATGGGCAAGAGCTTCACAGATGGAGGGCGGGCGGTCTTCAAAAAGTGGCTCTCGCTTTCTCGCCCGGGCACCAAAACGGGCCCGCGAGGCGCGCAGAATCGCCCAGTCGGGCTCCAGGTGGCTCCCCGACTGAGCTCAGACGGGCCACCCAGGTGGTCACGGAGGCCACAGGGCTCCAGAACTGCCCCAGCACGCCCACCATCGCTCCAATGCGGCCCACGAGGCATCCAAGACGGCCCAAGGGGGCCCTAGCATGTTTTCCGAAACAGCCCTACGAATTAGGCAGAACACATTGTTTTTGTTCGTCGGTCGTTCACTGCTTTTCGCGTGGCCGCCCGCTCCGCTGCCCGACGCTTGGAGACGGCACACGAGGCGTGCACGGGGGCCCAAACGCGCCCCAAGGCGGCGCCAAACTGGCCCAAGAGGCGCCCAAGATGGCCTAAGAGCGCTGCGTGCGGCCCTCCAATAGACACGCCAAGAGGGCCGTAATGAAGACCCGCAGGGTTCTAAGGCGGCCCTAGAATGCCTGCCACAGATTCACAAAAACCTCCACGAGGGCTCCCACACGGGCGCGGATTCAGGTTCCCAGAGAGTTTTCCGGGGAGCAGGAAGTTCTCCAGTATGTAAGTGCATTACTCTGGAGAGCCCTCTGCGAAAGTGTCATATATAATTGCATTTATATGTATACGTATACATAATATATGTTCACACATACATGCACACACATACATTATTCTCACATATATACACATACACACAAACATGTGCATAAACATTTACATGTGTACACATATATATATGTACATATTTATAGCCATATATATACATACATATACTAAACACACGTACACATACCCGTGTATAGATAAGATCTGTACACACATACACACATCTACCTGGTGAAGGACACTGGGGCCCCGAAGTCACGGCTTCGAGACCCATATTTGGGCTCCCCCCCTATGGGGCCTCGTGATCTGCTCCCCGGCCGCTAAAGACAGCTCTTGGGGCGCTGCTAAAGCGCCCACGATGGGTTCCAGACTGCCTGAGAGGCTGCGCTCCCAATGTGCCAATGTGCCCCAGGACCGCTGAAGATAAGCTCCCAGCGGCTCCAGAGGTGCCCAAGACGCTCCGAGAGAGCTCCGAGAGATCCCCCCAAGAGGGCCCCAAGAGGCCCAAATCGTCCCAGTCCCTGCGGAACACATTCACATGTTGGTCTTCACAGCGACCAAGACGGCCCAATTGCTCCCGTAAGGTCGCCCCAATAAGGCACCAAAGTTGCCGAAGACAGGCTGAAGACCAGTCTGGGTCACTACTTCAGTGGAGCTGTCTGTCACCGCATCGCACCACCCAGTGAATGTTAGTGGTGATGAGGGGGAGAATGGAGAAGGACGGAGGACAAGCAGGTTATTCATAACCCTTGAAGTATTTCGAAGTCCCTGCGCACGTCTCGCATCGGAAAGTGGGAAAACGCTGGGTAGGGACGCCAGGGCTCGGTGAGGGCCCCCAGACGCCCTGCATATCTGTTGGCGTACGAGGTGTCTGGAGCCTGGGGCCCGGGCCGGGACATTTCCCACACGACGTGTTTGACCCATTCCAGAGTTTCCTGGAGGCCACCAAAAAACGATCAGGGCCGAAGACGCCCGAATTTGGGTTCAAGACTGTTCAAGAGGACCCGAGCACACGAAGGTTCCAAGATGGGCCCTGAGAGGGCCTCAGGAGGCCAGCTTTGTTTCTTCCTCTCGGGGAGCGGTGCATTTTTGGCATGTCCGAATTTTGGATCTTGACAGCGTCCAAAGCGGCCCAAAAGGGCTGCACAGATCGTCCCGAGACGGCCCAAGAGGCCACCAAGGGAGCCCCAGGACGGCCCGAGAGAGCCACAACACGGTCCAAGAGGCACCTGGGTCCCCGAGGCCGCAGCATGCACTCAAGACGCCCCCAAGGGCCACAAAAGATACCCCAAGAGGTTTCCACATGGCCCTGATGAGGACACAAGAAACGTCAGCACTCTCTTTTCGAGGCGCCGGAGAAGCATGCCGCATGCCAAGAGAATTGTAGGTCGGAGGTGAGGGGGGGAGATCGAAGTGGAACGGCGAGGCCCCCACCGGGAAATCGGTTTCGGTTTCGTGTTCGTGCGTGCCGTGCGTGCGAGGCGAAGCTGCGTGGGCGGGCGAGAGAAAGTCTCCTGTGGCTGAGGCGCGGCCGGACCAAATGATTCCCTTCCGGGCGGCCGGGGCCCCGCGGTGTCCCGCCGGTGTCCCGCTGGTGTCCCGTGTGGCTGAGGCGCGGCCGGACCAAATGATTCCCTTCCGGGCGGCCGGGGCCCCGCGGTGTCCCGCCGGTGTCCCGCGGTGTCCCGCGGTGTCCCACGGTGTCCCGCGGTGTCCCGCCGGTGTCCCGCGGTGTCCCGCGAGGATGATGATGAGATGATGATGATGATGATGATGATGATGATGATGATGATGATGATGATGATGATGATGATGATGGTGATGGTGGTGATGACGGTGATGGTGATGGTGATGGTGATGATGATGATGATGATGATAATGATGATCATGATGATGATGGTGTCCCGATGAAGATGATGATGATGTTGATGATGGTGTCGATGATGATGATAGTGTCCCGATGATGAGGATGATGATGCTCATGATGAGTATGTCGATGATGATGACGATGATGGTGTCCCGATGATGATGATGCTGATGATGATGATGATTCCGATGATGTTGGTGATGATGATGTTGATGGAAATGGTGTCCCGGCGATAATGATGTTGATGATGATGATGATGATGATGTTGATGATGCTTATGGTGTCCCGATGATGCTGCTGATGATGGTGGTGATGATGATGGTGATGCTGATGGTGTCCCGATGATGATAATAATGAGAATGACGATGTTGATGATGATGTTGCTCATGATGATGATGGTGTCCCGATTATGATGATGCTGTTGATGATGATGATGATGATGATGATGATGATGATGCCGATGATGATGCGATGATCATGATGATGATGGTGTCCCGAGGATGATGACGATGTTGATGGTAATGTTGATGATGAGAACGATGGTGATCATGATGGTGTCCCGATTATGATGATGATTCTGATGATGCTGCTGATGATGATGACGATAACTGTGTCCCGATGATGATGATGATGATGATGATGATGATGATGATGTTGATGATGAGATGATGGTGGTGATGATGATGATGATGTTGTCCCGATGATGATGCTGACGTTGATGATGATGTTTATGATGATGACGGTGCCCTCATGATGATGACGATGTTGGTCATGATGTTGATGTTGATGATGCTGATGATGATGATGACGTTGATTGTGAGAGCGATTGTGATGTCGATGGTGAGATCGATATTGAGACCGAATGTGAGATCGATTGTGTGATTGATTGTGAGATCGATTGTGAGATCAATTGTGAGATCGATCGAATGAGATAGATCGAGTGAGATCGATTGTGAGATCGATCGAGTGAGATCGATCGAGCGAGACCGATAGTGAGATCGATACTGAGATCGATAGTGAGACCGATCGAGTGAGACGTTGGTTCCCCCCCCGAACCTCTTTATCACCCGAAGGGTGGTCGTATAGGGTATCCAGGCATCCCCTGCCCCAACTCAGGTACAGTGGCGGTATGGACCAAATACCATTGATAAGAAAGTAATTGGTTTGGCGATGTGGAGCGACCATGTGTAGCGCAGGGCGCGGGTCTCTCTTAATACACAGTGCGCCGCGGGGCAATGCGGGAAGATGGCAGCTGCGGAGCACGCGCGCACGGGTGTGCTGAATTCATGGGAACAGTCCGCGCGAAGGGTGTGCCGAAATTGCCACGGGGGTCGCAGTGCGAACCTAGCCTTTTGGGCCGTAGGTGGAGATCCCTGTGGGCCACGATCTGTGTGCGAGGTGTGCCGAAGTAGACAGGAGGGTGGGATGCGGACCTTCTGTCCAGGGCCGTCCGTGGAGCCCCTTGCGGGTCACGATCCGTGAGTGAGATGTTCCGAAATGAGCGAGATGACGCTGTGAAGCTTCACTGTGGTGCCGCAAATGCAGCTACTTGCGAGGGTTGATCCGCGTGAGGGCGTGCCAGTGCGAACCATGTCTCTGGAGACGTAGGTGAAGGTCCCTATGGGACGCGAGCCCTGTGAGGCGTGTGCCGACAAGGACCGGGGAACGCTAGCCAAGCTGGTCTCTGGGGCAGAGGTGGAGCTCGCTGAGGGCACGGCCCGTGCGACAATCGATGTCTTTCAGTACCGCACACTGTCCAGACTACAGTTAGAACTTGCTAGAATCTAAGCGCGCGAAGCGCGCGCGTGGTTCCAGTGTCTACATCTATACCCATCGGTCGTTGAAAGTAGGTTTTCTTCTATTCCCCAGATTCCAATCTACTTTCAAGCGCCTTCCTACTTCAGTGGTCGAGTGGCTTCACCTTTTCCGTCCTCCTCAGGGGGCGGACGGAATCCAATATATTTTCAACGCCTTCCTACTTCATGTTTCTACCTGCTTCTTCCGACCGATAGGTACAGACACATGACTCCCGAACCCTTGCCTTGCAAGACATGATCACATCCTTCCTTCCCTCTTTCTCCACCCTTGCGCCACCGTGGGCAGGTCTGCACAGGACGACCCGCCCCTGCTAGCACGGGCGTCCGAGCTGGCCACTCCTCCTGCGCCTGCTCCTCCTCCTCCTCCTCCTCCTCCTCCTGCTCCTCCTGCTCCTCCTCCTCCTCCTCCTCCTCCTCCTGCTCCTCCTCGCCCTCAAGCCACAGGCCTCCGACGCACACAGGCGCGCAGTGCTCCGCAGAGGGCGGGAGGCCCGCAGAGTCCGTACCCACGGCCCAGCGGTCGCGGGCCTCCTCCCCTCCCTGTCCACCTCCCTGCCCCATCCTCGCCTCCCCCTTCCTCCCCTGTCCCTGCTCAGCCATCACCGCATCGTAAAAACAAAAAGCGCCAGGACGACAAGTTCTCGGCCCATTTCGGCCCCTGGGGGCCCTCGCCTGGCCATGGGACCGTCAGAAAACTACTCGGGATGAAAAACCGGCCCCAGGGAACGGGTCTTGGTTTCGGGGGACGCCGTATTGAAAAAATCAGGACGTCGCATTTCTGGTGTCCAACTCCTCATTCACCCGCCTTCTCCCTTCCACACCCAGACTGGTTCATGCTCACTCACACTCTGACCCGCTCATACTCATTGTATACGTGGTCGTACCTCATACGCAGTAGTACCCACTGGTATTCAGACTCAATCATGCTCAGATCGTTCAGACTCAGATCCACTCGTACTCAGCTGGGTCCCATTCAGACTCAGGCATATGGCACTCATGCTCACACCAGTCAATCGAAGACTCACTGATATTCAGATTCACTCTCAGACTTACCCACGCTGTGTCACTCGCACTCAGGCCTATTCATGATCACTCGTCATACTGAAACTCGCCCATGATCGCCGCGACGTAGCAGGTATAGAACTTTAGCGCTCCAAGGGAGGCGCCAGGGGGTGCTGCAACTCCCCATTCGTGCCCAGATTGCGGAAGTGTCTCGAGCGAGGCGCCCATTGGTCGCGGACTCCTCTCTTTGCCAGGCTCCCAGACTGCCGTGATGCAGCAGGCATAGTACGCGAGTGTCCCAAAGGGGTGGTGCTACGCTTGCCCGTTCATGACCAAAGTCTTGGGTTGTCTCGAGAGCGGCGCTCGTTTGTCGTCGCGGGCTCCTCTCCTTGCAGGGGCACCTGATCACCGCGATGCAGCAAGCACGGCATGTGAATCCCGGGGGGGGAGAGCGCCAGGGGGTGTTGCACTTGCCCGTTCGCGCCTAGAGCGTGAGTGTCTCCAGGGAGGCGCTCCTTTGGTATCCCCGACTGCTTCCTTTCGGAGCGCCATGGTCATCGTGATGTCGTTGGTATGGCATTTGAGCACCCAGGGGGAGCCGCCAGGCAGTGTGACAGTTACCCTGTCGCGCACAGATGGTGGTGATGTCTCGAGCGAGGCGCTCGTTTGGTCTCCCCTTTTCACAGCCACCTGATCACCAGCACCCCGAGGGGGACCCGTCAGGGGGTGCTACGGTTGCCAGTTCGCTCTCGGATCCTGAGGATGTCTCGGTCGAAACCTTGGTTTCGGCACCCCCGCCCCCTTTCCTTGCAGAGATCTGCAGAGCCCCATGATCACCCCGATGCAGCCGGCATAGCACTTGGTCATACCAAGGGGAGCCGCCAGGGGCAGCATACGGCGGCAGAGAGAAGGCATCGTACGGTGGCAGAGAGGAGCACAGAGGAGCGTTCACACTCGATAGAGCACACATTCAGTCTTGGTCGCGCTGAGATTCCGCGAACTCGCAAAGGAATGTGTAACACAATGAGATGCATGTATGGGGATCCCTGCGTCGGGCTATGTGTTCGTCGCTGATGAAGCCCCATCCGTCCTTCCACAGGAGGGGCAGAATAATAGTGGCCGTTGTTCTGGTGCACGCTCAGGACTCTCTTTTGGGCCTCTGCCCATGGACCTTCCTCTGTCCTCTGTCCTCCACCCCTGTCCTCTGTCCTCTGTCCTCTGTCTTCCTTCCCAGGGAGGGCGCCCTCTGTCCTCCTGTCCTCCTTCCTCCACCCCTCCCCCTCCTGCAGCCCCCCCGTCCACTTCCTGCCCCCCCCGGCGAAGCGCAGAGCGAGGGCCCCTCGCCAGAGTGACCTTTGTGCTGCGGGCCCGCGGGTGCCCCCCCCCCTCCCCGGGCACTGCCTCTGCGCGCTGGGAGCCGGCCCCGCCAGGCGGACCCCTGCAGCGGAGACCCATGCCAGGAAGCACCCTTGCGTGCCTCCAGGGTGCCCATGGGGTCTCTCTCGTAATTTGGTGGTCTTGCTATGGAGATCGTGACGTTCCCATGCGAAAAAATCAATGGAAGTCCTGGGGTCTCAGTGTCGGGTTACTCGTGGAAGGTTCCTTGTGGTCGAGCTCCTACTGTATGCCCCTAGCGCCGCGAACCACATGCCACTCCTGCCCCTGATCACTCTTGTGCGTAGCCGAAACCCTCCCACCCCCTGCACTCGAGCCCTCACCCTGCCTCTCTTCCGCGTCTCCCCCATTCCTCTCCGCTTCCTTGCCTGCCTGCTGACATCCCCCCCCCTTCATCCCTCCTCGTGCGCGGTCCTGCGCTCTGCGTCCCTCCTACCTATGGTACATCCTGCCTTCTTGGTCTTCCCCATCCCTCGTTCTTCCCCATCCTCGTTCATCGCCCCATTCCCGCCACTCCTTCTCCTCCCGCCCCATTCAATGCCGCTTTCCGCCAGTCTTCCCTGCTGCAAGGCCCCATCGCTGTCCTTCAGCACTCCCCCCTGGCAGTCTGTCCTTTCCCACCCCGGTCTCCAGTCTTTCGAGCCGCTATTGAGGTCCCACTCTTTTCCTGCACATCTGGCTTCCCGTCTGTGCTCCGTCTCGACGACCAGGGAAGCTTCATGCGCCTTCTGTGCCACTCAGTGCATCCCTTGGCGATCTCCGATCCCGCCCGCCCTGGGAACTCAGATGACTCAGTCATGCCCAATCATGTCCATGCGCGTGCTGGGCCCCGAGTCGGTACGTGTGTTTTCCTAGTGCGGCCAGGAGGGCGTATATACTTGTTTATTGCGTCGGCCGCTGGGCAGTGTCACTGCGCTCGTGAACGGAGCGAAACGGGGCAGGCGTTAAGCGAATTGTGCCACCATGCAAGAGGGGGGGAACGAGGGCGACGGGGCGACGGGAGCGCATATAGATACGCAGCAGATTCGGGCACCAGGAGGGCCTGGAAAGCTGGACGTGCTGTGTGTATGCGGCGGCGGCCCTCTCCCTCGAGGCTAGAACTCTTCCCAGCGGCCCCTGGTGTAAGCTACGGTGGGGGCGTTCGTTAAGGAATGTGCCCAGGAGGCTGCAGACCCTGGAGGCGGCCCGTCCCCTGCAAGGGCAGAGAGGGACCTGCGCCTCCCCCAGCGACGCGGTACAGTCGGGGCCCTGAAGAAGGAACCCTTTCCGTTGGGCAGGGGGCTCGGTGCTCCTCGATTGTTGTTCTGCAGTGTGCCTCCTGTTTCCCTGAGGTGTCCCATGGGAAGTCGGAGTTCAGCCCATGGGAGCAAAGGGGCCTCGCTCCCTCTCCGGGGTTCCTGAAGTCAACGAGCCCCCACCGCATGGGCCCGTGCCCCCGAGGCCGCGGCCCGTCCCCTGCAAGAGGGCAGGGAGGGGACCTGCGCCTCCCCCCCGCGACGCGGTACCCCTCGCTAGGAAGGCACCAACTATACACCAACACCGATCCTGGCCCAGGATCACCCTGGGCCCAGGATCGGTGTATATGCCTTCTTGCCCAAGACAGGAGGGCGTATACACCGATCCTGGGCCCAGGGTGATCCTGGCCAGGATCGGTGTTGGTGTATAGTTGGTGCCCTCCTAGGTACCCCTCGCAGGAGGGAGCCGTCGGGCTCGTCGCGCTCCCGAGGCCACGGAGCCCCCGATCTCTGCAGCAGACCGCGGCCTCTGCGCTCCCCGCGGGGGCGCCGCCCCTCGTGCACGCCGGTCGCTGAGAGGAGGTATTTTTGGATCCGCGGGTCCCAAGGCCAGAGATCCAGCGTGTCTCAAAACTCCAAGTCGCTGAAAGGAGGTATTTCTGGATCCCCGGGTCCCAATGCCAGAGATCCAGCGTGTCTCAAAACTCAAGACGGAGGTGTTTTCATACATTTCGGCCTCCAGGAGCCCTCCCCGGCCCGCACGATCGTTAAAAACGAACCAGGATGAAAAACCGGTCCTGGGGAGTGGATCGACCCTTCCGGGGACCCCGTATTGATCAAAAAACGCGACATCGGATCTCTGGGATCTACTTTGGGGGCCTTCCTACTTCAAGGGTCGACTGGTTTCCTTCTTCTCTCCTCTTCCGGGGGCGGGCGGAGGCCCAGTCTACTTCCAACGCCTTCCTACCTCCTGTCTCTGCCCACGTCTTCCGACCGGCGTGTATAGACGAGCAGCGCGTGCTCATCAGAGCTGTGCGTAGCCCGCCTAGCCTCTGGCGGAAGAGGTTCGGCTCTCGCCCCGCAGATCAAACGTGCAGACGAGCAGCGCCTCGCCCTCGCGAGCCCTGCCCGAGGCGAGCCCGCGCGTGGCGCTGGACCTCGACGGCGTCGTGCTTGATCGCCTGTGGCTCGAGGGCTCCGGCCAGGCCCGCCCGGGGGGCGTCGCCGAAGGGCGGGCTGCGCGGCCCCCCTCCTCAGGGCACAGGCTCGCGTGGTGGGCGTTTTCTCAGGCATCGTTCTGCCGATCGGTCGCGGGCCCTCGTGCAGGCCCCCCTCCCCCTCCTCCCCTCCCCCATGGAGCAGCTCTTCGGGCTGCTTCTTGTGGTGCCTGCTTCGAGCAGGCAGAGTCTCCTCCATGTAGGGCGCCCCTGCTGCAAGCAGTCGCGTTGAGCTGAGGTCCGGAGCCAGACCCCTTCCCCCCCCCCCTTCCGCCCAACGTCGAGACGCCGAATGAGAAAGCGTGCACATGCGGAACGAAGCACGACGGATGGTCTTTGGCCGTGGGGCCCTCTCACCGGGCCCCGTGGCGGTTAAGACACAGCTTGACCGCACTGGTCGGACGGGGCCAGGACGAGAGTAAGAATCCGTTCTGGAGCGTGCCAGGAGGCTCTCAGAGCGTTCCGGAACGCTCTGAGGAGGCCGCGGCGTCCGATACATCCACCAGAGCCGCCGGATCTCAGAGATGCTCGATTTATTCTCCCCCGATTTTATCCTCGTCCTGGATTCGTCTTACCTGGGGAAAGACTGGTTGGGACTGCCGAGGGGCCAGTTTTGAAACAACTCGGGACCTCGCAGGTCTGGCGCAGCCCGGCGTTGCGCCGGTCTTCTGCCCCGTTCTTCTTCGGGTGGTCTCCCGTCCTGGGCTCAGGGGCGGCCCAGGTAGGGATGATGACAAGGGGGGTTGGATATCGTGGCCTGGACCATGATATCTCCCCATATTTCACGCCCCCCTCTGCTTATGTTTCTTCGGCTTCTTCGGATTCTTATTATTATTGTTATTATTATTAGTATTAATAATATTATTATTATTATTATTGTTATTATTATTGTTAATTTTATTATTATTATTATCATTATTATTAATATTAGTATCAATATTATTATTATCATTATTATTATCATTATCATTATCATTATTTTTATGTTTTTACTTATCATTATTATTATTGTTGTTTTTATTATTATTTTTATTATTATTATTGTTGTTATTATTATTATTACTACTATTATTATTATTATTATGTTTGTTATGATGATTTCTCTTCTGAAGGTCTTCGGCTCATCCCGCCACCTTGCCTGGGTTGCGGGTCAGAGTCCTCATGATGCTTCTTGGGGGCTCTTAGGAGCGCTCTCGGGAGCCTCGTTGGACCAGTTTTGAAGCCTCTTGGGCCTCTTCGGGGCCTCTTGGGGGCCTTTGGGAGGCCACTTGGGGCTCCCTGGGGGCCTCTTGGGGGCCTCCAGGTACCTCTCGGGGGCCTCCTGGCGACCTCTGAGAACCTCCTGGATGCTTTTTGGGGCCAAGTGGTCGAAATGTCCGTTCGGGTCCCCCGTCTGGGCCCTCTCTTGGAGTCGTTTTGGGGGCCTATTGGAGCCGTCTTGGAGGCCTCTTGTGTTGTCTTGAGGCCCTCTTGGGTCGTTTTGGTGCCCTATTAAAGGCCTCTTGGGCTGTCTTGGGGCCATCTTGTGCGCCCCTTGGGCCGTCTTGGAGCGTCGGGAAGCCGAAAAGGCGAAACCGCCGAATTCCTTCAAAAACCTAGGGAATCTCAATGAATTCTGCCTCTTGGAGCTCTCTTGGGAGGCCTCTTGCAGGCTTCTTGGGGCGTCTTGGAAGCCTGTTGGGCCGCCTGGATCCCATCTTGGGCGTCTTGAACCGATCGTTCGGCTACTACAGGCCCTTGTGGACCGTCTGAGGGGCCTCTTGGGACCCTCCTGGCCCGTCTGGGGGCCCTCTCCAGAAGTCATGCGACAAGATGCGCCCTGCCCAGGAGATTTGGCCCTCTGGGGTCTGGGTCCCCCAGTAATAGAAACCTTAATCCAGAGGACTGAGGATGAAAACAAGGGACCTGAGAACACGCCCACTTCGTTCTGAAGGCACGGTGGCGGATTATTCCCCAACCAGTGCTTGCACTTAGGGGCTCTTCTTTCTTTCCTACGGAACTGGGCCTGTGGTCTGGTCTGGCGGCTCCATGCTCGCCGTTTCCGCCTCGACACCGCCCGTCGTCTGGTCCTGCGTGCTGGTCTGGCGGCTCCGTGCTCGTTCGCCGCCCCGTTTGCTTCATCGTTGCATTGCTTTGCAGTGCATCGCGTTGCTTTCCTTCGCAGTGGCTTACATTGGTTTGCATTGGTTCGTCTTGCGTTTCGCTGCTTTGCGATGCTTTGAATGTGGCTGAGTGCTCGCTAGTTTCTTTCGAGGCCTGGCGCACGCCGTCGCCACTCCATAGCTCTGCCGCCGCCGCCCACGGCCCAGCGCAGGACACGGCCACGGGGGAGGCCGTCGTCGAGGTGAAGCTTGGGCTGAGGCTGCCCCTACGGGGGCTGATCGAGGCTTTCGGTCCGCAAATCATGGGAGCCTTCTGTGCACTCGTGATTAGAGAAGGAAGAGGTACCGATATCGCCACCCTTCCCGTGTTTTTGCCGTTTTGGGCATCTTGGGAGGATCTCGTCGCCACCGCTGGATTCGCCTCGAAATTCTTCTCAGAGCGCACCCCAGGAGAGGTCCAGGGAATAGCGGTATCGGTACTTGTTTAGTCTTTTTCGTGATTCCGTTTTAAGAGTACATTAGCGTCGATGGGCGTCTGGTAGTCTGTGTGATGGCGCCGACTTTGCGTCGGTGATCGTCGGTTATCGTCGGTTAGCATCGACTCAGCGTCTATTTGCGTCGACCAGCGTCGGTTCGCAAGATCCAACAAACGCATGAGAGGCTCCCATGGCTTGCCGCAGAAGAGGCGCTGACCGAGCTGCAGCGGGCACACCCGAGGACACGGGGCAGCCTTGAAGCCGGCCAGGATCAGGCCCAGACGTGCTCGTGTCCCGACAAAGGTCACGACTGATGGTTTTTGGTAACTTTTCGGCCCCCGGGCCCTTGGGGACCCACTCCAGGCTCCGCGGCCTTCAACAAATGATTCGGAATGGAAAGACAGCCCTGGAAAAGGGTCGTGGCGTGTGGGGACCCCGCATTGAACAATCAGGACATCGCATATTTTTCGGGGGGCAGCTTGGAGCTGGCTTGGAGGCTGAAGGGGCCCAGCACTGGTTCCGGCCAGCATAAGGGTAGAGAAAGCGACCCCAATCGGCATAAGCATGATTTCTCGGAATTCCACGCGATGTTCTTGGATCGGCGTTGGGCTTCCTGGCGGCGCCTTCGGCGCCGCCCCTGGTGCGCTCCACGCGCCAAGGAGGGGGTCCAGCGCCGATCCAAGAAATCCGCGCGGCTCTTCGAGAAAGTATGTTTGTGCCGTTGTTGTTCCTCTCTTCTTGTGACCCTCGCGAGTTGAGACAACGATGGTTGGCCTTCGAGGGGGGCCCTCGTCGCCACGGCTGAACGCGGCTCGGAAAACTTAACAGTTTCGACCCCGGGAGGGGTCCAGAGACCGAAGTTGACCGGATTTGCCCTCACTCCCCCTTCTTGACATAGTTCTCTTGGGCTTCACCCAGCTCAGACCCCCAGGCCGCCTCCAAAGTCAACCCCGCTGGCCGAAGATGGAATGCGGAAGGGGAAGGACCAAGGATAGGAGCAGGTGTAGAAAGACTGCTCACAGACCACGCTTCGAAGCTCAGCTGTGAAACTCTTGCGCTCGCACAAGAGATGCGTGTCGCAACGACGAAGACGATGAAGACCCGTACCTCGTCCGATGGGGAAGCACAGCGTTTGTCCATGTTGCCCTCCCGTGTCCAGGGGGGCATGTCCGGGCCCTGCGCCGCCAACGAGCCCGCTTCAGGCTGAAGGATTCGGAGGTTCAGTGGTCGAATCGCCCCCCTGCGGAATCAGTTTTTTTCCTTTTGCCCTGCTTTCCTTTTTTCCGCAACGAATTTTTTTGGGTTTACTCACCTCGCTTTGCAAAGTTGAGTTGGCCGCGTGGTGGTGTGCTCGATTTGCGAACCTCGCTGCCTTTTGGTTCGTGACCACATGGGGCGGGAGGGTGGGTATCCTCCACGCCTCCCCGTTGCTGGTGGCGCCCTGCATGGGGGGGGGGGGGAGGCAAAACAAAAAATACATGTGATGCTTGTGTTTGTTCTTTTTTTTTTGCCCCCCCACCTCCCCAGGCGCCAGCAGCAACGGGGAGGGAAGGGAGGGGCCTTGTCCTCCCACGCGCCCCCCCCCCCCCTCTCCTCGCGCCCCCCTTCCTCCTCCCCCCTGTGTCTTGGGAAAGAACCGAGGACAGTACCAGTTTTTGTTCGAACACCGTGCCCAGCCAATGTAGCATTGCATAAACGAAGTGGCAGCACTGCAACAGTCCTGTAGCTGTAGTAGTAGTACTCAGATCGTACGGTACAAATCATACACTACAGTGTTTGCTGTAGTAGTCGCACTGTAGCGTTGTAGTAGAGGTACTCCATTACTGTACTACACGAAAACAATAATATTAGCGCCGAAATGTGCACTAGCGGTAGTGCTGTAGAAATAGTGCTGCACTATTGTGCAGCAGTGCTGCTATTGTAGTAGTGAGCAATACTCTAGTACAGTACTCGCTAGAATGATAATATACTGTTGCTTGTTGCGAATGTACTATTGTACAGTAGTGGGAATACTCCAATGCCGCACCCCGCGCTGTTGTAGTAGCCTGGTACTGTAGTGCTGCAGCGGTGACGCTGCAATCGTGGTAGCACAGTAATGTAGCAGTCTTGCTCCGGTAGTGATACTACAGAATTGTTTTTTTTGTATGATAATACCGTACCAGCCACACGAGTATTGCATCAGCGAAGTGGCAGCGCAGTAGTCATCCAATCAGTAGTAGTAGTCGTAGTCGTAGTAGCAGTAGTAGTAGTAGTAGCAGTAGTAGTAGTAGTCGTAGTCGTAGTCGTAGTCGTAGTCGTAGTCGTAGTCGTAGCCGTAGTCGTAGTAGTAGTAGTAGTAGTAGTAGTAGTAGTAGTAGTAGTAGTAGTAGTAGTAGTAGTAGTAGTAGTAGTAGTAGTAGTAGTAGTAGTAGTAGTAGTAGTAGTAGTAGTAGTAGTGGTAGTGGTAGTGGTAGTGGTAGTGGTAGTGGTAGTAGTAGTAGTCGTAGTAGTAGTAGTAGTAGTAGTAGAAGTAGTAGTGGTGGTGGTGGTGGTGGTGGTGGTGGTGGTGGTGGTAGTAGTAGTAGTAGTAGTAGAAGTAGTGGTAGTAGTAGTAGTAGTAGTAGTAGTAGTAGTAGTAGTAGGAGCAGTCGCAGTAGTGGTAGTAGCAGTAGTAGAAGCAGTGCTAGTAGTAGTAGTAGTAGTCGTAGTAGTAGTAGTAGTAGCAGCAGCAGCAGTAGTAGTAGTAGCAGTAGTAGTAGTAGTAGTAGTAGTAGTAGTAGTAGTAGTAGTAGTAGTAGTAGTAGTAGTAGTAGTAGTAGTAGTAGTAGTAGTAGTAGTAGTAGTAGTAGTAGTAGTAGTAGTAGTAGTAGTAGTAGTAGTAGTAGTAGTAGTGTTAGTGGTAGTGGTAGTGGTAGCAGTAGTAGTAGTAGTAGTAGTAGTAGTAGTAGTAGTCGTAGTCGTAGTCGTAGTCGTAGTAGTTGTGGTGGTGGTGGTGGTGGTAGTAGTGGTAGGAGGAGGAGGAAGAGGAGGAGGTAGTACTCAGGTCTGGCAGTAAATATCATACCCTAGCACTGGGTTGAGTAGTCGCACTGTAGTACTGTAGTAGAAATAGCCCACTGCTGTCGTACCCGGATATCGTATCACTACCTTCGAACTGGAGTGCGTCAGTAGTAGTGTTGTAGGAGTAGTTTCGCGCAGCTGTGGAACAGTGGTGTAGTAGTGTAGTAGTGGCACTTCAGAAGCAGTGTCTTAGTACATGATTCGTAAGAGTAGGACTCAACGATTGCTTGTAATAGTAAAGCTGGACTGCTCCACTGCCGCAGCATGGCAAGAAACAGCGAGCGTGGTATTATCATAATGTAGTGCTGTAGTGGTGACGCTGAAACATTAGTGGTAGACGCTGGGATCCTCGTAATGCAACACTGATGCAGTAATATGGCATAAGTGAGACTTTAGCACTGTACTGGTATTGCTCCAATACTGGCAGTAGTCGTAATGGAGCTTTCACGTTGAAGTGCTCAAGCACGGCATCCGTGCCCTAGCAGCGTAGTGTCTTAGTAGTGTTGCATTCATACCATTCTACTGAAGTCGGAGTAGTGTCATGATGCAGTAGTAATGGTAGCAACGTATTGGTGGCTGTGGGAACAACACGGTGTTGTACCACTACTTAATCATGTAGCATCATTTTCATATGGTCGAGCGGCTGTACCAGCAATTGCGTTGTAGGATAGTCGTCCCCTAATATTGTGATCGAAGAACCGTTATAGTCATGAGGTAGTAGTAAGTAGTAATACCCTAGTATTGTACTAGCAATTGAAGGTATGAGGCTCAGGCTAGGCTTTGGCTAGGCTTTGGCTGAGGTTAAGTTCAGGCCGAGGCTCAGGCTGAGGCTGGGGGTTATCTTAGGCTGAGACTGAGGTTCTGGCTGAAACTAGGCTGAGGCTTAGGCTAGGCGTGGGATTGGCTTAGGCTGAGGCTTCCGCCGAAGCTCAGGCTGAGGTTTGGACAAGGCTCAGGTTAGGCTTAGGCTGATGTAGGCTAGGCTGAGGCTTAGGCTTAGGCTGAGGCTTGGGCCAGGCTTAGGCTATGCTTAGGCTAGACTGAAGCTTTGGTTTGCTTGGCTTAGGCCGGGGCTTGGGCCAGGCGGGGGATGGAGTTCAGGCTTAGGCTTTGCTTTAGGCCAGGCTTAGGCAACGCTTACGCTAAAGCTTAGGCTAAAGCTCAGGCTAGGCCGAGGCTGAAGCCGAGGCTCAGGCCAGGCTTAGGCCAGGCTGAAGAAGCAGAGCCTGTTCTAGACAGAGGCTGAATCTCAGGCTTAGGCTAGACTTCGGCTAAAATTCGGCTGGAGCTTAAGCTGGGTTAGGCTGAGGCTTAGGCTCTGCTTAGGCTGAAGTTTAGGCGGACGGCGGCGGAAAGAGAGAGAGAGAGAGAGGAGTGGGAGGCAGCGCCGAAGAAACGCATAGCGGGTATACCACGCCGATGCCAACAGCAAGCAAATGATGCGCTCCGCCTCCCACACAACAAAACCCTTTGAATCGCAGGGGGGCGATTCGACCTCTGAACCGGAGTCGGACTCGTCTTGGAGGGGGTCGAGAAGTCCGGGGGGGGGGCCGAGCGCCGAGCATAATCATCACGGCGCCAGAGCTCTCGGTCATGTCCCTCTATAGCAGGAGAATTCGAGAATCGCCAAAGAATAGCATGGGGACGATCCGCCTGTAGGAGGACATGCCCGACATACCTGTGGGGGCGCGACATCGAAGACGCGACGGCATCCCCCCCCCCGGGCCTCCCTGCTCTCGAGTGTTGTTTGTAGGTTTTTTCTCTGCGAGCGTGGCATATTCGGCAGCAAATTGTGTCGGGCCTGTCCCTCTACAAGAGGAATATTCAGAACTAGTGCAAAATAGTCAGGGGACGGTTTTTTGACTAGTTCTGATCATGTTCCAATATGATTTGACTATTTATGATATTCGTCCAAAATCTGCCTGTAGGAGGGCATGCTCGACCTAATCTCATTTTCGTCTGTAGCGTCGGCTAGCGCCGATAAAGCGTCGGCTAGCGTCGATGTTGCGTCGATGTTGCGTCGACTAGCTTCGATCTAGCGTCGGTTAGCGTCGACTCGCATGAGCTGGCAAGATGGTCTGGGAGGCTCCCACGAGTTGCCACCGAAGGGTCCATGGCTTGGGGGGCCAGGGGCGTGGGGAGGGCATGCGGCACGGGCAGCAGCGGGCCTGCACGAGCAGCCGGAGCGCCTCTAGGACGGGGGGCCGGGTACGAACGCTGCTACGCGCAGCTAGTTGTGGCCCCGCCGCTGGGCACGCTCGACACCCGGAGGTCCAACGTGTTGAACAAATCAAGACGGAGGTGTTTCGCAAGTTTCGGCTCCAGGGGGCTCTCGCAGGGCCTCGGGACCGTCAACAAAAAGATGCGGGATGAAAGCAATTGTCGTGGGGAATGGGTCGAGACTTCCGGGGATCCCGTATTGAAAAAAGCACGATTGGGTACATGGTCGTTTTTTGCACCCGGAGGCTCCAGGAGACAAATGGCTGCATGCAGCCTGCCCCCTCCGTCTGCGAACCCCCACCTTCCGTCCGCTCCGATCCTAGGTGTCCCAGGTGTCTTGCGAGCAGTTCCTAATGCAGGCGAGATGATTTGACCACCGAATCGGTTTCATAGTTGCCCCTGGAACAGAGACACCGCCGCCATTGTTAAGTCATTCCGCGCGGTCCAGGAATGCGCTTGCCCTGGCGCCGCGGGGGTCGCGGCCCAAGGAATGCGTTTCCGAGAGGCCCTCCTCTTCTGGGAACCCTGAGAGCCTCGGTTTGAATTTGATATCCTCAGGCGAAGTTGCGGCCCGGGAGTCCCGATTCCGACAAAGCCTTCCCAGTCCAGATTCTGACAAACCCCATCGGAAGTCGTTTGTTTGGGAGACTGTGCCGACGAATTGCGAGTGACCACCGATCTCCGCGATCGGTTAGTCATTCAAGTTTTCTGGTGTATTAGATGTTCTGTTCTTTTTCCGTAGACGCGCTAATGGCGATGTAGGTTTCGTTATTGTGGGAACGCGTGGCTCGTGCTTTCCTGCAATTCGTTGTGTCGGTTTCGTTCCATACATTCGCATATAGGAGATCTAGGAGAGTGTGGTGCGTGATTTCCGACAATTTGGTTTCTACCACCACCGTTACGCGACGTCGCCGTTAGCGTGGCTTAGGTTTTTGGGTGCACCGAGTGGCGAGTTCGCTCTGTCGATGTCTGAGGTTCGGACAGGATCGCGCCCACCCCGGCCATGGGCGGTGCGGGGGACGGCGGATGGGCTCGCGGCGCCAGGGCAGCCGCGCGTGAAACGTTCTGCCCAGTATGCTCGGGGTTCCCTGGCAGCGCCTCCACGTGTGCCTACCTACATCCGACGAGGAAAAACGCTATAAACATAAACTGCTGGCGCTCCGCGCGGATTTCTTGGATCTGCGCTGCCACCCCTGGCGGCGCCTCCAGCGCCGCTCCTGGCGGGAGGGGGGCCCGGCGCGGATCCACGAAATCCGCGCGGAGCGCCAAAGGTGTATGTTTATAGCATTTGTTCTTCCTCTATACATGCCGCCGTCTTTTTCGCTCGCGCCACAAGGGCTCTGGTGGAGCTGAGGTCATGGCCACATACTGGGCCACGCGGCCCCGTTGGGTCACGGGCCAGCGCGGGGTTACACCAGCCCCGTTGGGCTCCCGAGGGGCTCCCCCCTCGTGCCTCCGAGAAGGCGCCTCCAGCACCGCCCCTGGCGCACTCCGCGCACCTGGGAGGGGGTTCAGCGCAGATCCTATAAATCCGCGCGGACCTCCAGCAATTGATCTTCATGCAGTTGATTGTTCCTTCAGGCAAGGCGAATTCCAGCTGGCGTAGCAGATGGGTGGTCTGGCTGTGGGCTTACACAGAAACCTAGATCCTCAATCATCCTCCCCCTCCTCCCCCGCGTTCCCGATCCGCTTCCCCAGGTTGCCAGTCCTTGGAGGCTAGATTCAGCATCTGCGCCAGTATAATTATCCGTGGTCGGAAACCAGTCGTCGGCCCAGTCCCGCTTTAACCCAGTTAACCCCCAGTTCACCCTGAGTCATTTGAATCTGGCGTATTCTGGTGCAGTTGCCTCCTCGTTGGTTTCAGCATCTCTCAATCATTCCCGCGAAGACCTCCCAGGAGTGGCATCCCAAGCTTTCACGGGTCGTTCCCCTCCTCCCGGGGAGGACCCAGCCAGACAGCCCACCCCCGCGGGCAAAGCTGCCCGAGCAGCCCTTCGTGGTCAGCAAGGACTTGAACGTCATCGTAGTCGTCGTCGGTGTCGTCGTCTTCCTCCCTCCTTTTTCTTCTTCTTCTTCTTCCCTCCCCTGGTCCTCCCTCCTCTCCTCTCTCTCTCATCCTCTCTCTCGTCGTCGTCGTCGCAGTCTTCGTCGCGCTGCATCATCGCCATCGCCATCGAGGACCGAGGCGATTCGAGAATAGAGAGTGTTTTGTTTGGACGTTGTTGAGCGTGGTTCGGTCTCCGGCGCCACGGCTCGATTCCCATTGAAATTCTGGGCAGAAGTCACATCGGGAGAAGGTACCAGGGCTGAATTTTCATGGGCCGTCGACGATCGTCGGTGTCGTCGTCGCTGGGGTTTTCCGCCTGCTTTCCCGCTGCAGGACCGGCAGAAATCGATCCTGGAAGACAAGTTGCCGGGATGGACTCCGAGAGTGGTCCGGGGGCCGATTTTGAACGAAGTTTGGTCGTCGTCGTCCTCGTCCTCGTCGTCGTCGTCATCGTCGTCGTCTTCGGTCGTCGTCTTCGTCATCGTTGTCGTCGTCTTCGGCCGTTGGTGTCGTCGTCGTCGTCGTCGTCGTCGTTGTCTTCGGTCGTCCTGGGGGTTCTGGGTCGAAGGAGAAACAAGCGACGCAGACATAAACTTTTGGCGCTCCCCACGGGTTTCTTGGAACCGCTCTGGGGCCCCCCGGCTTCGCCTCGGCGCCGCCCCTAGGCGCGCTCCGCCCGCCAGGGAGTGGGATCTAGCGCAGATCCAAGAAGTTCGCACGGAGCGCCGAAGGTTTACCCATCGGTCGTTGAAAGTAAGTGTTCTTAGAGTCCCAGGTGCCAATCTACTTTGGGCGCCTTCCTACTTCAAGGGTCGAGTGGCTTCTCCTCTTCCGACCGGCGGGTATGTCTGTGGCGTTTTTTGTTTGTGTGTTTTTGTTTCTACTAGGGCGGAGGGTCCCCCTTCACAGGAGAGCTCCTCTTGGGGGACCCCTGGGGCGGAGGGGCCGCTCCGCAAGCAGCACAGCGGGAGGTGGCGGTATACCGTGCAGGGCCAGATAATCATCGACAATGTCCTTCTGGCGCTGTGTAAAGACTATGTCGTGCATTGATCCAAGAAGGAGAAACGCCATAAACATAAACTTGTGGCGCTCCACGCGGATTTCTTGGCTCCGCGCTGGGGCCCCCTGGCGGCGCCTCCGGCGCCGACCCTGGCGCGCTTCGCGCGCCAAGGAGGGGCGTCCGGCGCGGATCCAAGAAATTCGCGCGGAGTGCCAACAGTTTATGCCGTTTTCTCCGAACCATCCTGTGGTGTGGGGTCCTCGTTGTGAAGAGACAGTGCCCGCGTTTATCCTTTTCCCGCTGCCCCCTTCCGTCCTCCTCTCATCATCATCACCACCATCATCATCATCATCATCATCATCATCATCATCATCATCATCATCATCATCACCATCATCATCATCATCATCATCATCATCATCATCATCATAGCCAATGTGGCTCTAGCACGTGCTGGGTCGAGGGCCATCGGGCGCCCGTGCGCCCCCCGCCGTTTCCGCCTCAGTTGTTTCTTTCGCTCGGATGGTCAGTGCTGCGAGGCTGCGATGGATCGCGGATCAACTCGCTCAAGGGCGCCAGTGTCGAGCTCGACTCAATTCGCATCGTGATCGGGTCATTTCCATTTCGCTCTCCTGCCGTACTGGGACGTTGGCATGCTCAATAGTTTTGCGACCTTGCTCATCCAGTCCATGCTCGCTTCGCTTCAGGACGCCATTGCTGTGGACCACGGGCGTTGCTCGTCATCTGGAGAATCCCATGTATCGATATCGATGCGGCGTGCTCCACCTGCTCTCTTTCGTGGCGACGCTGATGCCGACCCTCCTGGAAGTCAACATGCAGAACCTGATGCACGTTCCGGAGGCGGTCTGCCTGAAGTTGCCGATCCTGCTGATCGGGCGCTTGCTGCTCTTGACGTTATGGATCCCCGTGAAGGTGCCGGAGCCGACCGTCGTAGATACGACCTTCGTGCTGGCGCCGACCATCATCTGGAAGATCCTCGTGGAGGTGAAAGAGCTGACGGTCGCGGAGGTGCTAGAGCCGACCTTCGTGGAGAAGACCTTCGTATTGGTGCCGACCGTCGTGGAGACGATCTTCGTGGAGACGACCGTCCTGGAGATGCTGGCGCCGACCGTCGTGGAGAAAATCTTTATGGTGGTGCTGGAGCTGGCCGTCGTCGACACGACCTCCGTGCTGGTGCCGACCGTTGTAGAGACGATCTTCGTGAAGATGACAGTCGTGGAGGTGCGGGTGCCGACCTTCGTGGAGACGACCTTCGCGCTGGTGCCGACCGCCGTGAAGACGTTCCTCGTGGAGACGACCGTCATGGTGGTGCTGGTACCGACCCTCGTGGAGAGGACCGTCGTGGAGACGAACTTTGTGGAGCTGACCTACGTGGCGCCGGCCTTTGTGGCGTCGAACGTCGTGGAGTCGACCCTCGTAAAGACGATCTTCGCGAAGACGACCTTCGTGCAGATGACCTTCGTGGTGATGACATTCGTGGAAGCGGCCTTCGTGGTGTCGGCCGCAGTGGCGGCGACCGTCGTGGAGACGACCTTCGTGCTGGTGCCGACCGTTGTGGAGATGCTTGTGCCGGCCGTCCTGGAGACGATCTTCGTGGAGGTGTTGAAGCCGACCTTCGTGGTGAAGACCGTCGTGCTGGTGCCGATCGTCGTGGTGACGACCGTCCTGGAGATGGCCTCCAACGCGCTGCTGCTGACCTTCGTGATGGTGCCGACCGTCGTGGAGAAGATGTTCCTCTTCTGGAGTCTGTCCATCCTGGTCGTCGGCCTGGCGACCTCGCGCGTGATCAGGTTTGTGGCGGTGGTGCTCCTCCCTCCGGGTGGCCGCCCCGCAAGAAGGCGCGCGGAGAGGGCGGCGATGACGACGATGCGATGTCCGAGACCCCTGGAGGCACGCGCAGTTGCATGTCATCTGATGCCCGTGTTTTTTGCCAAGCCTCGCCGCGTCTAGCTCTGCCGAGGTTGCCCCCGAGCGTTCCTCAGCGGCGTCTTTCGAGTATCTTGTGGGTCTGCTACCCGCTGGTCTGAGTACGGAAGATAAGGTCATTAACATGCTGTTGCGAAAACCGCGCACGGTTTGCAATGTCATGGGTTCCTTTGATGCGCTCTCCAGGTTCTTTGCTGGGCGTGAGAGTTTTCTGAGCAGCCATCTCTGTAAGTGCTTCGGGCTCCCTCCGTTGTCATGGGAAGCCATATGTCAGAAAGCTGCGTGCCATGCCGCCTGCCAGAGCCCCGACAGCGAGATCGACGCCTACGAACTTCTCCTTACGCTCGAAGGCACGCCAGATTCGGAACCTGGGAGAAAACAAATCGTCATCATCAGCATCAGCATCATCGTCATCATCAAACATGTGCACCGCTACGGGGGCGTTGGTGTGCTGGGCCTTGGACGTTTTTGGCTTGGCATCCAAGATGTGCTGACCAGACGCTTGCAGCGTTGTGCCGAGGTGCGGGAAATCATATACAACTTCGAGCTCTAGTCCTGCAGGTGATCGATAGACCAAACGCCCCATGGAGAGGAAACGTGTGCTCCAGGTCGTACGGGAGCCCTGGCCGTACATCCGCGCCATGATCGCAGATTTCCCAGGTCCTACGTTGATCACGAAACCGACCCTGCGGAACTCCTCGGTGATTCTGTCCACTGCCGGGTCCACCTGGGCAAGCAGCTCCTGAGGGGAATCGGCCAGGAACTCGAATGTGACGTCGTCTACATACTGCTCGTCGTTGGGGGTCTGCTGCAAAGTGACGTGATCGGGGCTGCTGTCGAAATCAGTTGCCCAGGGCACGGAGGCGCGCGTGGACCTCTTCTTTCTGAGCTACATGCCGCTCTCCTGGACTATGTGCCGCGCTCGTTTGATGACCAGCTCGTAGGCTGTGTTGAAGCACGCCGCTCCGAGCCGACAGCCCTGACGAGCGCCACGGTTTGCGGCGACCACAGGGCCCGGTTCACTTCGCCCCTGGAACCACGTACTGGAGTGGAGGTCAGCAACCCTTGCGGTGGCGTGCTCGTCCCGAGCCGTGAGGCCGTTGAGCTTTGTGGGCCACATGGCTTTTGAGACTTGCGTGGCGCGACTTCTGGGGCATGTGCGACCTGCGGCGCCTGTGCGACCTGTGGGGGACGGTGGAAAAACGAGCAGCACCCGACAACCTCAACGATTGAGAGGAGGAGGAGGAGGAGGAGGAGGAGGAGGAGGAGGAGGAGGAGGAGGAGAGGAGGAGGGGAGGAGGAGGAAGAGGAGGAGGCGAGGGGGAGGAGGAGGAGGAGGAGGAGGAGGGAGGAGAGGAGGGAGGAGGAGGTGAGGAGGAGGAGGAGGAGGAGAGAGGGAGGAAGGAGAGAGGGAGGAGGATGATGAGGCGAGAGGAGGAGGAGGAGGAGGAGGAGGAGGAGGAGGAGGAGGACGAGGACGAGGACGAGGACGAGGACGAGGACAAGGAGGAGGAAAGGGTGGGCCATTGCTCCAGGAATCGTTTCCCAGTTGTTGATGTTCTTCAGGCTAGGGTCAAACCGAAGCCGTCGAGTCTTCTTATAGTGTCGGGCCCGAGCGGTCACCAGGTTCTGCACTGTGGGGAAGGTGTTGCCTGCGGCGTCGGTCTGTCCCGTGAGAGGATATGCACAGCCCTGGCTCTAACCCCGTGCAGTGGGATTCCAAGAGTTCTCAGGCAGACCCGCTCCTCGCATACGTATGTGGGGTAGTCTCGATGACATCTCGAGTTCGCGTGTGTTGTCTTGTTTCCAGTGCGGATGTTTTCGGTCGGGCGAAGGTGCTGAAGTTGTCAGAGCAGTGTTTAGGGCTTCTCCTCGCACGCGGATGCTGGCAACATCCTCCGCCTCCTGCAGAGAGGCATCGACCCTAGCACGAAACACTGCTTCGGCCGCAGCATTCCTGCCAGAAGGAGATAGGTGCTGCCGTCCACGGGTTGCCCCAACTCCATCTCGCTTCATTCTCGTCTCTGCTGCTGGTTTCACACCGTGGGATCACGTAGTCAAATCAGGGAGTCAGGGAATCAGGACGAAGAGGAGGAGGAGGAGGAGGAGGAGGAGGAGGAGGAGGATGAGGAGGAGGAGGAGGAGGAGGAGGAGGAGGAGGGAGGAGGGAGGTGAGGAGGAGGAGGAGGAGGAGAGACGGAGGAGGAGGAGGAGGCGGGAGGAGGGGAGGAGGAGGAGGAGGAGGGAGGAGGAGGAGGAGGGAGGGAGGAGGAGGGAGGAGGAGGAGGAGGAGGAGGAGGAGGGAGAGGAGGGGGGAAGGAGGAGGAGGAGGAGGAGGAGGAGGAGGAGGAGGAGGAGGAGGAGGAGGGGAGGAGGAGGCGAGGAGGAGAGGAGGAGGAGGAGGAGGAGGAGGGGAGGGGAGGGAGGAGGAGGAGAGGAGGAGGAGGAGGCGGGAGGAGGCGAGGAGGAGGAGGAGGGAGGAGGAGGAGGAGGAGGAGGAGGAGCAGAGGAGGAGGAGGAGGAGGAGGAGGAGGAGGAGGAGGAGGAGGAGGAGGAAGAGGAGGGAGTAAGAAGCAGGAGAATCTGATGACGGTCTGCCCTCTCATCAGCAGCACCCGACAACACCTCGGTGCAAAAGACCCCCCCCCCCTCGGGCGGCGCGCCGCGCTCTCCAGACCTTCGTCGAGCACGACCAGCCAGACAGCCCGCAGCGCACCGCCCTCCTGCGGACCTCCACCGCGCCCCCGGAGCTCCGCGAGCGGCCCGGCCGGCCTCGCCGGGGGCGTCGATCAGCGGCACCGTAACGGGTACTCACTAATGGGTGTTTCGGACACTTGCCAAAAGTTGCCACTTTAGGGCCTCTTATGAGCGTTTTCTCACGCGGCGTTTCAACATTGAGCAGGAGGGGAGGGGGAGGGGGGGTCTGGCTGGGGACCTCTGCTTAGTGCGGCTGTTTGCAGCAGAGCGTCCTATGTGGGAGACTCCACCTGCTCGAAGCAGGCGCCAAAACAGCCAAGATCTACTACTCCATGGGAGGAGTGGGTGCGAGGGCCCGCGCCGATCGGCAGAACGATTGCCCACAGGGAGGATTGGGTTCGCCGGGCCACTGGCTAAAGTGCCCGTCCGTGGAGTCCCCGTTCGAGGGGCGCCGAGACGAGCCTGCAGGCCAGATGGTTATCCCTAGACAGCCGGCGTCTCGAGCAGAAATCGGCGGCGAGCAAGGGGGGGGAGTGAGAAGGAGAAGGCTATCTTCTCGGAAGGCGGTGGGACTCCTTCTCAGAAGCCCTCGCGCCTGCCGAGAAATTTTGTTCCCCGACCATCCTGCGGTGTTGGGTCTTCGTTTTGAAGAGACGGTCCTCGCGTTTCTTCCTTCTGCCCTTCCTTCCTTCCTTCCTCCTCCCGCTCCTCCCTCCTCTCCCTCCTTGCCTATGCCCTCCGCATGTCCGTTTCGGCACACCCCTCACAGGGTTCGTGCCCCCATAGGGAGCTCCACCGAAGGCCCCAGTGGCCGCGCCCGCATGCGTTATCTCCGTCCACCGCATGCCCATGTCGGCACACCCCTCACACGTTTCGTGGCCCCATCGGGAGCTCCACCGAAGGCCCCAGTGGCCGCGTCCGCATGCGCGTCCTCCCCGCCCACCACATGCCCATTTCGGCACACCCCTCACATGTTCCGTGACCCCAGAAGGAGATCCAACGAAGGCCCCAGTGGCCGCGTCCGCAAGCGCCCTCCCCGCCCACCGCATGCCCATTTCGGCACACCCCTCACACGGTTCGTGGCCCCATAGGGCGCTCCACCGAAGGCCCCAGTGGCCGCGTCCGCAAGCGCCCTCCCCGCCCACCGCACCCATGTCGGCACACCCCTCACACGGTTCGTGGTCCCATAGTGAGTTCCACCGAAGGCCCCAGAGGGAGGGTTCGCACGGCATCACCGCACCCCATTTGGCACACCCTTCACACGGCTCCACCGAAGGCTCCAGTGGGAGGGTTCGCATGACACCACCGCGCCCAATCTGGCATACCCCTCACACGGTTCGTGGCCCCAGAGGATGCTCCACCGTAGGCTACAGTGGGAGGGTTCGCATGGCACCACCGCGCCCCATTCAGCACGCCCCTTACACGGTTCGTGGCCCCATAAGGAGTTCCACCGAAGGCCCCAGTGGCCGCGTCCGCATGCGCGTCCTCCCCGCCCACCGCATGCCCATGTCGGCACACCCCTCACATGTTTCGTGGCCCCATAGGGAGCTCCACCGAAGGCCCCAGTGGCCGCGTCCGCATGCGCGTCCTCCCCGCCCACCGCATGCCCATTTCGGCACACCCCTCACACGGTTCGTGGCCCCATAGGGCGCTCCACCGAAGGCCCCAGTGGCCGCGTCCGCAAGCGCCCTCCCCGCCCACCGCACCCATGTCGGCACACCCCTCACACGGTTCGTGGTCCCATAGTGAGTTCCACCGAAGGCCCCAGAGGGAGGGTTCGCACGGCATCACCGCACCCCATTTGGCACACCCTTCACACGGCTCCACCGAAGGCTCCAGTGGGAGGGTTCGCATGACACCACCGCGCCCAATCTGGCATACCCCTCACACGGTTCGTGGCCCCAGAGGATGCTCCACCGTAGGCTACAGTGGGAGGGTTCGCATGGCACCACCGCGCCCCATTCAGCACGCCCCTTACACGGTTCGTGGCCCCATAAGGAGTTCCATTGAAGGCGGTACCCACAATGCGGTATCCGCACTTGGATATGGTTGGGTCTTTCGTCAGGCTAATGTTTGACTTTGGTGAAGGCGTGGAAAACTCTTCAGGAGGCTGTGGAACTTCCGAGCCTTCTGACTGTGTGGCCACCCAGACCGTGAGGAATTTAGCGTCTGCCTGCAAGCAGCGCCTGAATCTTTCTGGCAAGAAGCAGCTGCCCAAGCTGCAGCAAGGACTGCCACCTGGCACGCCCAAGCTTGCCAAGAAGCCGAGGGCCCAGACGAAGGTCCTCAAGTAAACCGTTCAACTTTGCCTTTGGCTGGAATGAACAAGAAGGCCGTCTCTTTCTCACTTCCTCCCTCGGGCTCGCCGCCGAGAGACGGAGGGTTGTTTTATTGTCATCGGCCTCGGGGCCGTCGACAAAACAACGCAGGATCAGGAAGCGGTCCTCGGCAAGTGGTCGAGAGGTCGGGGTCCCATGTCTCTCTACTTTGAGGTTCTTAATAAGCTTGGTGGGTCCCCTCCCGACGGGGGTCAACCCCGCCTCGTCGTCGCGCCGCGACTGGGGTCGGAGCGCCTTCGGCGCGCGGTGGTTGCCCGCGACGGGGGTCGATGTGGGGCTGTCGGCGGGGGTGACGCCCCCCCGACGCTTATTAAGAAATTCGGAGTAGGCCTCCTAGATGTGGTCGGAGTAGATTGGGTCGCAGGATCGCGCCACATCGCCGATGCATTCCGAGTTTCTCATCGCCGTCGTCGCCGATCATCGCCGACGTCGCCAGTGCATGCCCGATGCATCGCCAATGCATTCGCGATGCATCGCCGATGTATCGGCGATGCGGCGAGATGCTCCGACCCCATCTACTGGGACCCCATCTAGGAGGCCTCTAGTCTCGGAGTTGCGGGTTTCTTCCCCCAGAAGCCAGGGGCGCAGTGGCTATGTACAAGAATCTGGCCCCCGGGCCTGGGGGCTAGATTTGTAGTCATACCCACTGCGCCTCCGCCTGGAAAGTCTGAGACGCAGCGGATGTGGATATACAGCTTGCCCGCAGGGTTCGGTCCCATGGCAAGTAGTCCCAGCTGGCATCCACAGGCCCCCGAGCAGTCGTCCAGGGGGGGCCACTGGAGGCGGCGCCCGGGCGTTGAGATCGCCCCGGATCATTCGGGGGGCCTGCTGAGGCCAGCTAAGACCTTTCGGGGGGCCTGTCGAGGCCAGCCGGGACTGCCTCGGGGGGTCGTCTCTGCGCAGCCCGACGCCTTATTTGACCAAGGCGGGGTGGTCGATTGTGCGTAGGAGTGGCCGTTCGCCGGAGTGGTCTCAGGTCTGGGCCCATGGGTCACGTTGCACCTTCGGGGGACCTCGATTGTCCCCAAAATTGGTGTCTTCTCTTGTGCCCAACGCGGGCTCGATGCGGATTCGACGCGGATTTGGTGTGGATTCGACGCGGATTCGACGCGGATTCGACACGGATTCGACACGGATCCGACGAGGCCGACATGGATTCGACGCGGATAGAGGCGCGACGGGACAGACAAGGTCCCCGAGGATGCAGGAGAACGGTTATGTGTGGGAGTGGCCTTTCGCCAGGGGGGGGTTCATGTCCGAGCCCACGGAGACCCCCCCACCCGAGAGTGAGAGTCAGGAGGGGAAAAATCACACGGACGCAATGAATCGTCGACCCCGAGGAAAGTATGGGAACATATATGCATGGGGAAGTGGGGGGGGAGACGGAAGCCCAGAAAACATGGGGAATCCGGGGATTTGTGTGTGTGTGTAAGTAAGTAAGTAAGTAGTTGTGTGGCCCAAGAGGAGGAGGGAGAGAGGAGGAGGAGGAGGAGGAGGAGGAGGAGGAGGAGGGAGGAGGAGGAGGAGAGGAGGAGGGACGGAGGAGGAGGAGGAGGAGGAGGAGGAGGAAGGTCACCGCCCACCAAACCACCCCAACCCGACCCGAAGGCCCCATGTGCCCTCCATTTCCGGTGGGGGGGGGGGTGGTCGGGGAACATTTGAAAAAAAAACACATATGAACTCGTACCCCCCCCAACCCGAAATTCGGGCGAAATTTGGGTCTTCGGGTTGGGTTGGGGTGGTCTGGTAGGTAGTCAGAAGGGGAGGCGGAGGAGAAGGAGGAGGAGGGGGAGAAGGAGGAGGAGGAGGAGGAGGCGGGGGAAGACGAAAACCGAATGTGAATTTATCTGTGTATCCCAGGGCCCCTTTCGAGAGGCTGGGCAGGGCCAGCACTCGCGGCGGCGTGCCCGGATTGGGCCCCCGCCCCCCACGAAGGCCGCGCCCCCTCCGCACGAAGGCTGGGCACCGGAGGGAGGCCGCTCCTGCCCAGGGAGGCGGCCTGGCCACTGCCCAAGACTCTTTGGGAGTGGACCGGACCCCCCCCCTGACACGTCGGAGAGTGCATTGTCCAGTTTCGGTTCTCGAGCGGGCGCCGCGGCCGTCATTTTCCAGGCTTGCGCCCGCCAGGATTGGGCCCGAGGTTGTTTTCACTAAACCACGTTTTACTAGAGGGGGTTCAGTCCATCCCCGAAATCTCGAAGCTCCGCGGATTTCTCGGATCGGCGCTGGGGCAGCGCCGATCCGAGCAACCCGCGCAGACCTCCGAGTTTTTTGTTTATGTCATTGCTTGTTTCCCGATTGTCTTATTCTCAAAGTACGACGAAGAAACAACGCCATAGACATAAACTTCTCGCACTCCGCGCGGATCTCTTGTATCTGCGCAGGCACCCCCAGCGGCGCCTCCAGTGCCACTCCTGGCGCGCTCTGCACACCAGGGAGGGGAGTCCAGCGCGGATACAAGAAATTCGCGCGGAGCGCGACAAGTTTCTGTTCATGGCGTTTTTTCATCGTCTAAAATGAATTCGTGGCCTAACTTAGGCTCAGGGCTTATGTCCCTAAGCATGTGGGTGGCCTCGCTGGACACATCTGCAAAAAGAGAAACCTCGGGAGCATACCCGATTTGGGTTGCCCTCCTGAATAAGGTCCCCTCCCAAAGGATTAGGGGCATTGTTATTGGCGTCGCCCCAACATACTCGCCGATCCACGATTGGATTCCCACTGGCTTCCAGACCCTGGATTCCTTACCTAAGG